AGCCTGAGGGCTTCTGCAAAATGATAATGCCCTCAAAAATAGCATTACCGTTATTATTGCTAAAATACATGGAATTTGTGTTGAAAAGAAAAAGGAAATAATGAAGGAATTTGACTGTAAGTTTACCCAAATCAACTTCTGACGGGGTTGACTGCCCGAATGCAATTACCTCATCGAACAATTCAAGTGACGTCACAACAGAAAGTGACGATATTCGACCTTGGCCTTTGACAAGACCATAGACTGCAACATGTCAAACTATGTCAGTGTTCAGTTTTGGTCCATCAACAGCCTTAATAGTGCAATGTTAAGGTTAGCACCAACAAGAAAGCCAATATTACCGCTATTTAAAGCGGGAATCCGGGTTGCTTTGACTTGTTTGATCCAGAATATCTGCCAGTCGAAAGCCAATTAATGTCCAATGAACCGTAAGCCCACGCACCCACTATGACGTCACTTGACAACAGAACTGATAGTGGCCCGTCGTTAAGGTTGAGCGGTCCAATATCATTTGCAGCGGCCCTCAAATTTCTGATAATGGGAGGGCCGTTTCATGATAATTCTATGTATTTTAGCTATAATTTATTATATATCGCCTTTAAAAAGCGGTCAAAGTATCGTGGTGACCTTGAAAATAAGGTCAAGGTCACCCAAATAAACTGGTGTCTGTGTAATCCCCCAATGTAGGCTGTCACCAAATTTGAAGACATTGGGTACAACAGTCGATGAGATGCTGTGTTAAGAAGAGTTTATAAAGTGTGAAAAGTGTCATGGTGACCTTGAAAATAAGGTCAAGGTCACTCAAAATCAACTGGTGTCTGCGTAATCCCCCAATGTAGGCTGTCACCAAATTTGAAGACATTGGGTACAACAGTCGATGAGATGCTGTGTTAAGAAGAGTTTATAAAGTGTTCAAAGTGTCGTGGTGACCTTGAAAATAAGGTCAAGGTCACCTAAATACAGTGGTGTCTGCGTAATACCCCAATGTAGGCTGTCACCAAATTTGAAGACACTGGGTACAACAGTGCATGAGATATCAAGTTAACAACAGTTTGAAAAGTGGTCAGTGTCGTGGTGACCTTGAAAATAAGGTCAAAGTCACCCAAATCGTCTGGTGTCTTTGTAATCCCCTAATGTAGGCTGTCACCAAATTTCAAGACATTGGGTACAACATTTCATGAGATATCGCGTTAACAAGAGTTTGAAAAGTGGTCAAAGTGTTGTGGTGACCTTGAAAAATAGGTCAAGGTCACCCAAATCGACTGGTGTCTGCATAATCACCCAACGTAGGCTGTCACCAAATTTGAAGACATTGGGTGCAACAGTCCATGAGATATCGCGTTCACAAGAGTTTGAAAAGTGGTCAAAGTGTCAAGGTCACCCAAATAAACTGGTGTCTGTGTAATACCCCAATGTAAACTGTCACCAAATTTGATGACATTGGGTACAACAGTCTATGAGATATCGAGTTAACAAGAGTTAAAAGTGTGAAAAGTGTCGTGGTGACCTTGAAAATAAGGTCAAGGTCACTCAAAATCAACTGGTGTCTGCGTAATCCCCCAATGTAGGCTGTCACCAAATTTGAAAACATTGGGTACAACAGTCGATGAGATGCTGTGTTAAGAAGAGTTTATAAAGTGTTCAAAGTGTCGAGGTGACCTTGAAAATAAGGTCAAGGTCACCCAATTCGACTGGTGACAGTTCATGAGATATCGCGTTAACAAGAATCGGGCCGTACGGACGGACGCCGCTGAATACATAGTCCCCCGTTCCGCGTTGCGGCGGGGGACAACTATGCATTCTATAGTCAGCAGATATTAATCTTTACTAGTTAACTGCTGTGCCTTGATTTATCTGATGCCTTATACTGCAATACTTCATCTGATATGGCAGCACATAAGTAATTAAATCTGGATCAGAAACCAATCATTAATAGCTATGATTCCAGTCACTGAAACTGCCCACAAAATCTGACCAGCAGTGTTACCCAGGGATGAGAGCTCTGCTCTGGCCACTCAATACTAACTACTACAATATCTTCCACTTCTTAGAGGAATGAGATTTAGCTCATTAATGCAAGATCATAATCACATTTATATCAGATCCTTTAGACTAAGACAATGAATCTCTGTTTTAAGCTCTTAGTAAACATGTGAAAGTTTGTGTCAGATGAATGTTCTCATCAATGCTGAGCTCAACAACAGTCCATAAACAATACTGAGGGCACGTTGGGGGTTATAATGACACATTAATAACAACCATATCACAAAATGTGACAATCTGATCTATTGGACCTTTTAAACAAGCACAGAATGTTGGGGACCAGTTCTTCCTCAGAATCTCCACATGGTGAACTTTCTAATCAGGAGAAAAAAACTAAGTCAGGGAGCACTGAACAACTACTGTCACTCATTAAATTTCCATCATCAAAGGTTTGGAATGATATATATTCATCAAACATAATTTTGACACGAAATTAATGAATGCCTACGATTCACTTTAGCTAGCTGTGATACATTGTAGATGACCATTTCTTTCAAATGTACAGTCAGCTCTCGTTAATCCGACACTCATTAATCCGACAATCACGTTAATCCGACAAAAAATTAGGGAACCATTTAAAACAGTGATAATTACTCTCGTTAATCCGACATTCTCGCATTCCGACTCCGACACACCAATCTCGCAACTGATTATTGTAAATACATTGTAAAAACATTCGTTAATCTGACAATCAACACAGCCGGTCGGATGATCCGACCGTATACAAACAATCACACGTGAGTGGTAATTAGCGTGTGCCTTACTGGCCGCTTGACACCGGCGTCAGTGAACATCACACTTGTTAATTAGGAACACAGGATAATTAATTGAGACGATTTAATCAAGAAATAACAGTAGAGCGAGCTGTATAAAATGTTTACAACCGACATGAGTTTTCATCACAAGATGTTTGTCACGAGTACACCAGCTGCTAAGCGACCCCTTGTAGAAGTTACGCCATTGATCAAGAAAGAAATCTCCTTTTGAAGAAAGACAAACCCCAGACAGCACAACAAGAAGTCATCACTTTTGCTGAGCAGAAGTTTGATGTGAAGATTGGACGATCAACCGTATCTGACATCCTGAAGCAGTCTGCTTAGTGGTTGAGTGTCTCTACGACTGATTACAATGCTTCAAGCTATCTGAGGCCAAAACATCGTTGAACACTTTGCAAACATTTCTGACACACCACTTAGACGTGTTTGATGTTAATGACCATCAAAGACTTTTTCAAGTTATAAATTATATATGTTATGATGCACGCCTGATTGTACATTAGACGTCCACATGTTATTATGGAATTAGTTGTATGGAAACTGTAACATATTCAACATCCGGGTCATAATGGCAGCTGATATGCGGTAAAAACAAACGTGAGTTTTGTGCCAATGTGGTCATGAAATAGATATGAAACTGTTCGCTTATGTGATTATATATGTATGTTATGCCATCTATGAATGTTAATAAATGAAAACAAGTATGTATTGTTAGTATTTCTTATTTCTGTGAATATTTTTACATACGATGAAGATAACTAGATCTACCATTTCTGATATGCATGCAACAGTATGACGATCATGACATTTAGTAAACATTGATATTTTCACATAAATACATTAATCCGACATTTTCATTAATCCGACATTTTCGTTAATCCGACATATTTCTCTGCAACCACAAGTGTCGGATTAACGAGAGTTGACTGTATTCTTTGTATGACTATAGAATTTGACATTCAGTAAATTAATGAGTTGCCATAGTACCAGCATTAAACAGACTAGTAGACTAACAACTAGTCTCTGAAATGAACATATTTTACTGAAAAAAAGTTCATAGTAAAAAAAATAATAATATAATGAAAAGGAGCCCTGAGACTTTCTTCATTCCTGAAGCTGAGGAAATCTAGACTTGCCACATTTTCTAGACTTGCGTGGGCTTTCTTGGATATATTTGCTTCAGGGTCTGTACGAGAGACTAACAGACTAGATGCTGGAGTCCTTATGTTGTATGCATTGCTATAAATAGACACATGTTCATCTTATGCACATATTCATTGGGGCCTGGAATGTTTTCGACAATATCATTTCTTTCCCAAAGGAAAGAAATAAAATAAAAAAGGATTTATTCACTGACTGCCCATAAAAATAATGATTTGTTTCTTTTCATGAAAATTATAAAATGAATTATGATCTCCCTCAGATGGGTAGCTCAATTATGCAACCGCAACAGATCATGACCGAAAAATGAGTGTATATTGAGTATACATGCTACTTTGTTAAGTACTTTATTTATATGACAGCAAAAACATTTACCAAAATTGGAAAGCCAACACACATTTGCTTATACGACATACTTCGAAAAATATATTTGGTTTAACTGAAACAAACCCAAACAACAGACCGTACATAGCTTGTGTCATGAAAGTATGTACTATGTACCGGTAGTTACTAATTCCTTCTGGACAAGATTGCGTTTACACAAAAACTTCATGTGACGTCAAATTGTTCTAGTAAGAGGGAAATGTAACATCAATGAATTCGAATCTTGAAACGCAAGCCATCAAATAGGCTCATAGAGGACTCAACTTTAGGAATTTTCCGCTCTTGGAACTTGTACATATGCCACAATCAATACCATAAACAACAAATCACAGTGTAATTCTGAAATGATCACATTCTCGTCAGTTAGTTTGTCCGCTCCGTTTACAATTAATGTACCTTGCAATGTTACCTCATCTTAACAGCCAACCAGAAATGACCACGCTCACTCGTTCGAACTTCGATTGTAAAGCTCACCGAATCGTAATGCCACGTGCTTTTTAATGCCTTAAACACGAGTCAAACTGGATTGTACCAACGAAAGGATGATGATATTCAATCGTCATGCACACTTTGACAATAATTTTCAACCACCACCTCAAAGACAACGCATTAAAACAGCGAGTGTAATATACTTACGATAATGCCGACTTAGACTTCGCCATGTTACAGAGTTGTTTTTAGCAGGTGCCTGCTTTAGTTTCGATTTCGATCATAAATCTTTTGATAAATACACTGTCATGTTTTACAATATAAAATATAGTTAAACGTGATCCGCATTGTAAATCATAATTTTGTTTTTTATTTGCAATAAATCCGTAGTTTCGTAGATATCAATTAAAATGCTTAGAAGGATATCGTTATATAAACGAATTTGGAAGAATTGGTAACAAGCAACTAACCAAACGATAATGAAATAGAAATCCTTCTTTTGCAAATAAATGGGATATGTACAAATATAAACAAACCTGTTGTTGCGTAAATGATTATTGTGCTGAAATAAATCATACAATTATTCCGAATCCACCTTACGCTTTATGTTTTGAAGTAATCGATATTTTGTGCGCAGGCGTACTGCTGACAGTTATTAGTTGTTTACTTCCGTTGCAATGGAGTGATGTCAATGTAAATAATGTTTCATTCATGTCATCTTTAGAGGATTAAAACGCTTCCATATCTGTAATAACGATGTCGTGTGGCGGAACGGAGTCGGTGGACGTATCTAGTATGTTTCTTCAGCATTTTTTTTAGAGACTTTAATTAATATGAAATAGAGGACACGTAAACAAACGAAATATTTCTGACACATTGTCCAATGAGTGTTGTGTAACATATTTAGAAGGCAACCATATAATTTATCGACACTTGTCAATATTGCGTGCCCTTTGATCTCTGGAATGGCATGGGGTTAGGGTAGTTCACACCACGTACATGTATTATGTAACTCCTTTCATCATGTTCCATGCCTTTGGTGGATCCCCTTTCCGATCAGGCATCATTGGGATCAGGTATCCCGGTGCCAGGGGTTTTCGATGATGTAAGACAAAAACGTATTTTTTATGTGTAATATCATTTAAAGTTTTTATTTTACTAACCTCGAGTGATAAAGGATATAGTCATCTATTTCACACAAAAATATCAAGTGTTCCCTACAAAAATGGCGTTGATGAAATCGTATCGGCGAAACTGTGCCGCTCGTAACATCCGGGTATTTTGTATCGGTTTTCGACGATGAGCAATACTTTTTGCTCCCCACTGCGAGGGAGTGTTGTGATCACGTGGCTTCCATTTTTCATATATTACCTGTCACCAGCAGACGACTCATCTAAATGAATTTTCGCTTGATATTTTTTGTTATAATGGGAACTGATTTTGCATCGTAAGTGGTATTAACGATCTCAGGTAAATAATATTGATGTTTGTTTGCTTTTTATATAACTTTACTTCCCGATTTCCATTGTCAATAAAACTTCTCACGACAGCGACTTGGCACCCGCCCTTTCAGTGACACTGTTTGTGCACTCCGATCGCACATGTACTCCCCGATATAGCGCGTGCAATGCAATCGTCGAAATCACCAGAACGTCGAATTCAGCTTGTGTTGGGATACCCCTTTCCGATGGGATACCTTTCACGATCCTCACAATCATGAGGGTTAGTTGAATGGGGAGACAGTGTTTTCGTAGGCTGAACCAGTTCGTGGACGCGGTGCATTCGTAGCCCAGACTGGTTCGTAGACGATGATTTCGTAGACGTGTATAAATAATTGAATAATAGTATTAATATTAATTTGGTAATCACTTGGATTGTGTATAGCGAAGTTGTTATGCTTTGTTTTCAGTGTTTACAAAACTAAAGACAGCTAAGGACAAGAAAAGTGTGATTGAAGAGTGAACGAATATTTTCACGTATCTTGTCTAGACTCGTTTATTTGTATAAATGTATTTGTATTTGTCGGCGGATCAGACAAAATTAGTCTACTCCTCATAATTTCCCAACAACAAGAAAATACTGAAATTGTCTAAACTTAAAATACATTAGTCTACTCATCGCAAACAGATTGCACTGAGTTGTTGTGAATTTAATTAAGAAGTGGTGAGTTGTTTTTATTGCGAAATGCTGTGTGTATATTGAAGTGTTTTGTTAATTACTTTGTCGGTGACCCACCTTATCCTTCTTCTCTACTGCTACTTCACCGCTGGTCTGCGTAGTTTAATGTTGATCACACTTACCTAGTATATTTTTTTTATTTCACAAAACTCAAACACTTTTCGTTTACATTAAAGTCAAAATATCTATTTTCATCATCAATGATGTTGAAATTTCCCCCTTTTACTAATGTCTACGAATCCACCGCTCAATTCGCCTACCAATCCACCGGATTTGCACGTCTACGAACCAGTCTGGTCTACGAATTCACCTACAGCCGTTGAAATATAGCGTATGGGTCAGTCAATCCTCTTGTATACCTCATTGCATGTATAATCCTTATTCTATCCACTTTGTTTCAGCCAACTCACCAATCACAAAAACTGGATATTTGCGTAGATATAACAGTAAGTCTGGTTGAGTCAACATCAACAATTCAAACTGTGGGAAAGAGTTCCTTCCGTTCCCCCATATTGTCCACTTCTTTCTTCCACAGATTAACAGAGGTAACGCAACGTGGTTCGACCCTATATATTGTAAATATTTTTTTGGCTTTTAGTTATTTTTGTGAGTTCTCTAGTAATTGTTATGTTAGGTTTTGTTAATAATATTATAAGTATAAGTATATATTAATTCCTAAATATTATTTGGGATGAGGGAACGGTAGGAACTCTTATCAAAGTGTATACAATTTACTATATCATGCCATACCTTTAGAGTAGATTTCTAAACATTGTGAAAAAAATATGATTTGAATTAAAAATGCATCATGTGAGGAGTGATTACCCAAGTTCAAGTTGGATTACCTATTTGTGTCTTGAAAAACTCAGGAAAATAAGGCACTGCAGTTCACAGTGCACACTTTCAGAAATTAACAGTGTGCAAATGACAGATTCTTCCTAACTACAATCCTTAGTTCAATGATTTTGCCATTGCGACAAGCATGTGTTAAATATTTGTCATGCTGCAGGCTTTTCTCAACTAGCGTGATTAATGTGACACTCTTTGTGTCAAAATTATTACTTTGTTTGAACCCAGTCTCAGTTTAAAATTATCATATTCTATTAAAGTTTCAATATTTTCAGAGGGATTTCTCTCAAATGGATGGAAACAAAACTTGTTCAAGCTGCATGCAGACAGTACCCTGGCATGGTATGAAAGTCAGAGCAGTTATGAAGCCAAAGGAGGCATTAGAGTGAAGGTACTGTGTATAGTCAGTAGGATATCATGGTAATAGCATGTAAAACAACAGACAGTACTGGCTATAGTCCGTTTGGCTCAAAATCGGACTGATGAGTGCAATCTAACTCGAAAACTACTAAACATATAATACTCAATGAAACACTGATCATAATCAAAACATCAGACCAACTCTTGTTACGAGGGATGACTGCAAAGAGAGGAACAGCCAGGTGTACGCGGAGCACGTGCACAAGTGCCGACAAAGTTATTGAATCATTTACCTATGCTGTGCTGTCGCCATCCTTTCTCGCAAACCAGGCTGTTCCTCTCTTTGTACCCCTCCCTCGTAACAAATAGTGGACGGTGTCAAAATTTTAATGATAGTTTGTTAAACAACTTTTTTATTTTTAGGACATAAATTCTGCAAAAAAATCACAGAGTTGGTCTGATGTTTCAATTATGATCAGTGTTTCATTGAGTATTATATGTTTAGTAATTTTTCGAGTTAGATTGCAATTCATCGGTCTGATTTAGAGCCAAATGGACTATAACAGATAATATCGAACTGCTTTGGGTCATTTTGTGCAACCCACCAGAGGGATGTAGTAATGTCTTTGTTGTTCTCCAGGCACATGACAGCATCTATGTTATTCTCCAGGACACACATCAGTATTTATGTTGTTTTCTAGGACACATGATAAGGTGTGGCATGCAAATATCTTTGTTGTACTCCGGGACACATGTCAGTATTTATGTTCTCAAAGTCACATGTCAATATATATGTTGTTCTCCAGGACATCGTCACGTTATGGCTGAGATATTGCCGATGTGACGTTAAATATTAACTCACTCACTCACTCACTCTCCAGGACACATGTGAGTATTTATGTCATTTTCCAGGTCACATGTCAGTATTTATGTTATCTCAAGGTCACATGTTAGTGACTATGTCATTCTCCAGGTCACATGTCAGTATTTATGTCATTCTCCAGGTCACATGTCATTGTCTATGTCGTTCTCCAGCACTCATGTCAGTTTCTCTGTTTTTCTCCAGGATATATGTCAGTGTCTGTGTTGGTTACATGTTACTTTTTATCCCAGGATATACGTCAGTGTGTGTTGGTTACATGTTAGTTTCTATCTCCAGGTCACATGTCAGTGTCTATGTCATTCTCCAGGTCACATGTCAGTGTCTATGCCATTCTCCAGGTCACATGTCAGTGTCTATGCCATTCTCCAGGTCACATGTCAGTGTCTATGCCATTCTCCAGGTCACATGTCAGTGTCTATGCCATTCTCCAGGTCACATGTCAGTGTCTATGCCATCTCTCAGGTCACATGTCAGTCACATGTCATTCTCCAGGTGTCTATGCCATTCTCCAGGTCACATGTCAGTATTTATGCCATTCTCCAGGTCACATGTCAGTGTCTATGCATTCTCTCCAGGTCACATGTCAGTGTCTATGCCATTCTCCAGGTCACATGTCAGTGTCTATGTCATTCTCCAGGTCACATGTCAGTGTCTATGTCATTCTCCAGGTCACATGTCAGTGTCTATGTCATTCTCCAGGTCACATGTCATGTGTCTCACATGTCATGTCTCACATGTCAGTGTCTATGCCATTCTCCAGGTCACATGTCAGTGTCTATGCCATTCTCCAGGTCACATGTCAGTGTCTATGCCATTCTCCAGGTCACATGTCAGTGTCTATGTCATTCTCCAGGTCACATGTCAGTGTCTATGCCATTCTCCAGGTCACATGTCAGTGTCTATGTCATTCTCCAGGTCACATGTCAGTGTCTATGTCATTCTCCAGGTCACATGTCAGTGTCTATGTCATTCTCCAGGTCACATGTCAGTGTCTATGCCATTCTCCATTCTCCAGGTCACATGTCAGTGTCTATGCCATTCTCCAGGTCACATGTCAGTGTCTATGTCATTCTCCAGGTCACATGTCAGTATTTATGCCATTCTCCAGGTCACATGTCAGTATTTATGTTATCTCAAGGTCACATGTTAGTGACTATGTCATTCTCCAGGTCACATGTCAGTATTTATGTCATTCTCCAGGTCACATGTCATTGTCTATGTCGTTCTCCAGCACTCATGTCAGTTTCTCTGTTTTTCTCCAGGATATATGTCAGTGTCTGTGTTGGTTACATGTTACTTTTTATCCCAGGATATACGTCAGTGTGTGTTGGTTACATGTTAGTTTCTATCTCCAGGTCACATGTCAGTGTCTATGTCATTCTCCAGGTCACATGTCAGTGTCTATGCCATTCTCCAGGTCACATGTCAGTGTCTATGTCAGTGTCATGTCTCTCAGGTCACATGGTCAGTCACATCACATGTCAGTGTCTATGTCATTCTCCAGGTCACATGTCAGTGTCTATGTCATTCTCCATTCTCCAGGTCACATGTCAGTGTCTATGTCATTCTCTCAGGTCACATGTCAGTGTCTATGCCATTCTCCAGGTCACATGTCTCAGGTCACATGTCAGTATGCCATTCTCCAGGTCACATGTCAGTGTCTATGTCATTCTCCAGGTCACATGTCAGTGTCTATGCCATTCTCCAGGTCACATGTCAGTGTCTATGCCATTCTCCAGGTCACATGTCAGTGTCTATGCCATTCTCCAGGTCACATGTCAGTGTCTATGCCATTCTCCAGGTCACATGTCAGTGTCTATGCCATTCTCCAGGTGTCATTCTCATTCTCCAGGTCACATGTCAGTGTCTATGCCATTCTCCAGGTCACATGTCAGTGTCTATGTCATTCTCACAGGTCACATGTCAGTGTCTATGTCATTCTCCAGGTCACATGTCAGTGTCTATGGTCACATGTCAGTATTTATGCCATTCTCCAGGTCACATTTCAGTGTATATGTCATTCTCCAGGTCACATGTCAGTGTCTATGTCATTCTTCAGGTTACATATTAGTTTCTATCTCCAGGATACATGTCAGTATTTGGCAGTTGGGCCAGTATGTCAACAAGTCCCCAACAGGCCTGACCCGCCCCCTGGTGGACAAGTCTCCAACATGATGGCCATACCCCGGAAAAACAGCAAACAGGCTGACATGGTGTGGATGATATTCTCTGATCAGAACGAACTGAAGTGAGTATGACAACCACTAAAAGCACAACTGGCAGGTTTGGATGGTGGGTGGGAGATGATGCAAATTACTACTTTAATTTTTCATCTTTTATAAGTTACCTTTTCAATAACATCAAACCTTTCATACTTCGACTTTTCACATAACTTGACTGAAACATTGCACATTGTCTGTCATCCATCTTTGCATCCATAGTAAGCTTTTACACTTCTGATATTTCTAAAACCAGAAGGCCTATGAAGCAAACATGATCCTACCAATGGCATATGATGTCACTGAATTCTATTTTATGGCAGACTGACTATGACCTTTTTGTCCTTTGCTCTTGTGTTACTTAGTGTATGGAATTACATACAGCTTGTATGGTAAGTTCCAAACTCACCTGACTGAAAGTCATGTGTTGTTATGTCATGGCCTGCTTCTCCAGCATTTATCGTCCTCTTCATCTACATCTGTGGTGTCATCCATACTGATCAGATATGTAATTGATTTCTGGACATTAACAATTTCAAAACATAGCATTCTGATTTTTATGGATTAGGATAGTGTGTTGATGTTGGCATTATTTTGTTCATGCAAAGTGAATATTTAGCATTTAGTTGTTCACATAACTTTATTCAAGGAGTTTATTCCCACAGACATTTCCAGAAGTGATCCTTCTCCATGTGTATGGTGTATTTAAAACTTTCATGGTGTATATATCTATTACCTCCAGAACTTGGAAGACACACTACTGATACATCAATGTTGGTCACTGAACCAAATGTTGAAACATAAACATATTTACAACTTTTTCAACATTATTCAGCAATCATAACAAAAATATTAACTCATATCACCATGATATATTTTCAAACTCTTAAATTAGCAATTTCAGTCTTGTGAAAAACCTCATTTTTTTCATCTGACATTAAATAAATTAAATGTGAGAGGGCCACAGACCTTAGCTTAGTTAGACTATGTCACCTTGAGTTACAGTATGTTTTAATAGAAAATAACACAAATATTGTTTCCTAGAACTTCAGTTTCTTGCAGTATGAACATCTCATGTTTTAATGGAGAGACGTAAATACAGACAATTAGTTTAATGCATCATGCTATTGTATCAAGGGGTATATGAAAATCAATATTTTTCCTTATCCTGACTCATGATTATTTGCTTTCTCATCCTCTCTTCCGAACGGTCAAGTGGAAACTTGAATCCTTTCAATTCCCTTGAAGCGAATGTACAATCACTCACCCTTTATTACCTCCCCTGGTTTCCCGCCAAAACCTGGCACGTGACCTCCCATGCCTTGGTCTTCACTCTCTCCTCTATCGCCGTAGCGGACGGTTGAGCGGTCACTTGAGGGTCCTTTCACGGCGTATAACTTTAAAAGTTTTGGAATTATAACACAAATTCTGCCGTGAATGTGTTTATTAATATATTATTCATCATATTATTAACAAAATTTGTACATTTCATGTCAAATTAATTCACGTTTTACTCCGTTTTCAGACGACTGTTTGCTTACATTTTGCAAGTGTAAACAGTGATTCAGCATGTCTCTACGCTTGAATTACACTCTGGTGTTCTTCTTGTCTGGTTTATGAGTTGAATATGTCTTGATGTTGATTATTCTGTATAATCATATGTGTATAAATTGAATTGTGAAAATTTACTTGTAAATTTTTTCACATGTGATTGCGAATTTGTTTCTAATATTTCACAACCTGTTGGTACAGTTAACCAGACTGCGTGAGAAGGTGATACAGTCGTGAGAATTGTGAGTTGCTGTGACTACGGCTTGAGCTGTGCTGATATATGATGTCATCCCAGCCTAAGTCTGCGACGTCACCCGTACGGGAGAAGGTATCTCCACACACTGTAAGTAAAAGGAAGTCCCCTCCGGCAGAGAAGGCATCACAACATAAGAAGAGCAAGACGACTGCTTCAGGGAAGCAGTCATCATCATCCAGGCGCTCATCTAGATCGTCCCAATCTGGTAAATCGGCGAGATTGGCGCTACATACGTCTATGCAGCGTCTATCAACAGATATTGATGTGCCTGGCGTTAAGGCAGATGGTTCCAGCTTCGGTAGTCCTCCAGTGTTGCAGCCGGAGATTTTCCTTTCAGCGTCGCAGAGATCATCCAGTCCTGAGATACTGTCAGCGCAGATTAGAAGCATGACATCGCCGATGTCATCGTTGCAGTCTACCGAGAGCAGTGATGCAGAAAGACTATCGAAAGTTACTCACTTTCACGCAAGCAGTCTAATGAAGCCGTTGCAGAACCAGAGACAGCAAAAGTCAGGCGGGAACCCGTTAGCGTTTGCGGACGCTAACCTGTCTACGAGGCCGACAGGCGAGACAGTTGCAGTAATCCCACAGCAGCATCCGGTGGTCAACGCTGGAGACTTTGCTGATACAATCACCCGTAGGGTGATGCAGGCGATGGAGATGAGGCTAGACCTGGAGAAGAAGCAGACGGCTCTTTAAAGCAGCGTTGCAGTAGACGAGATGATGGCAGACCAGTCATTTACTACGTCTTCAGCAGTCAACGTAGACATCTCACATCAAGGCCTGGCAGATGTAGTACAGCATACTGAAGAAGATGATGCCATCTTCACTGAAGCTAAGGTACTGGCGTGGGTGGCTGATGGTCTCCCGTTATCGTCCCCGGCTAGAGACGCTAATCCGGCGGAGACGTACTGTATGAAAGATGATGACTACGAATCAATTACTATCCCGCCAATGAAGCCCATTGCGCAGGTTTCAAACAACCTGAAAGCAGCCTTCAAGAAGGCCTCGAAGACACAGGGGCAACATACTCCGCAGTTTAACCCTAAACGATTCCGACATCACAACATGAGTCAGTTCGTCAAGGCGCCAGAAGTTGACGAAGATTTATATCTGGTCACTGACTCGAAGTCTCGCAGTTACAAGGTGGAAGATAAGAGAATGGCGCAACTTGATACGACAACCCGTAGAGCCTTCTACGGGTTAGCAAGATCTAGAGCCATCAACGAAGCATTGATGTACGCCTTCAAGAATCCTAAGACGGAAGAAGAAAAGATGATCAAGTCTACCTTAGTGGTCCAGCGCAAAGATCAGGAATTTATCTCCGATCACTTGGCTTCTACATCGGCGGGCATCACCCTTCTACGTCGGCAAGGGTTGCTGAGTTCCAGTACGTGGCCAGATGTCTACACCAAGCCTTTACTAAGGAAGCCTTGGGCTTGGAACACCATGGTGCATCAATGAACTCAGCGTAGTCAACTAAGATCCCGTTTCTCTGGTATTCAGAGAGCCAAAGAGAAGAAGTTTGCGACTTCACGTGGCGGCAACATGGGATCTTTTCGTCGTCCCAGTAACGCAGAAGTTACTCAGGCCGAGGCAGGATCTCCAGCAGTGGCAGAAGATCCCGTTACTGAAGAGAAGGTTCGGAGCGACTGGTCGCTTCCACCCCCAGCCGTTCCCGGTACAACCGTCATCCGTGGGTGGACGTCTGGGACTATACTGGGAAAATTGGAGAATACTACAGGACGATTACGTCACAGAAGTCTTACGAGAGGGCTACAGCATCCAGTTGCAGTCGACACCACCGTTGACAGATCAACCGTGGGTCTTCAAGTACCTGCAACTACAACGAGACAAGCTCACCGAAGCTATCTAGATGTTGGTGGTTAAAGATGCAGTAGAGGTAGTCGATCAACGCGGACTGACGCCCGGGTATTATTCTCCAATTTTCCTGGTACCAAAGAACTCACAAGAGAAGTTCCATCTAATCTTCAATATGAAGAGCTTCAACAAGCATTACCTGTTGAAACCAGAGAAGTTCAAGATGTTACATCTGCCTCAGCTGAGACATCTTATCCGACCCAAAGACTTCATGGCCAGCATAGATTTGCAAGATGCCTATCTGCATATACCAATACATCCAGAATCACGGAAATACCTGAGATTCCTGTTCGAAGGTCGTCATTACCAATGGAAGGTACTGCCGTTTGGAATTTCGTCGGCCCCGTGGTTATTTACACGAATAACCAAACCGATTGGTTATCTCCATCAGAGGGGCGTACGAAGTGCCTTCTACCTAGACGACGGCATCCAGGCACATCAAGATGCAGATCAACTCAAACTACAACTGCAGCTTACGATCAACCTATTGACACAGTTGGCTGGCTGGTGAATCATCAGAAGTCAGAGTTGGAGCCGACCCAAGATCTACAATTCTTAGGCATCAGATTCCTGACGTCAGAAAATCGCATTCTGGTGCCAGACGACCGATGGCAGAGCATCCAGTCGTGCATACCAGACGCTCTCAACAATCCACTAGAATTGAGAACGTGGCAGCGAATCTTGGGTCTATTGACGTCGGCACAGGCTCTCACCCGCAGAGGAAGATTACAACTTCGTCCGCTACAACGGTTCCTGATAGCGCATCTAGACGATGTCCAGAAGTTTGCCATCCCACAACATCTTAAGCAAGCCTTGCTTTGGTGGACAATAAAGTCGAATGTTTGCGGTGGAACCTATTTGAGAGAGCTTAATTACAACAGACATCTCTACGTGGATGCGTCCCTCCAAGGTTGGGGGGCACATCTCAACGACGAAGTTATGACAGGGCGGTGGTCACAAATAGAGAAGGGTCTGCACATCAATCAGCTGGAACTGAAAGCAGTAATAGAAGCAGTACTACATTGGGCGGCGCAATTAAAGAATCAGGTACTGATGATACTTACAGACAACTCCACGGTGGCCTTTTACATAAATCTGCAAGGGTCCACAAGATCAGCGCCGCTGCTTCAACTGACGTTCCAGCTATTCGACATCGCAGACAAAATCAACCTGAAGATGAGGGCTTGCCACATCCCAGGGGCAAAGAACATCTTAGCAGACGCTCTATCCAGACCAGTACGGCCATCTCCCACAGAGAGTGGAAGTTACATCCGTAGGTGTTCCAGTGGATAACAGCCCAACTAGGCTGTCCTCACATAGACCTGTTTGCGACTCACTTCAACAATCAGGTGACAACATTTGTCTCGCCAGTGCCAGACCCACTGGCATGGGCTGTCGACGCCTTAGCCATATCATGGGAAGGGATGAAGGCTTACGCCTTCCCTCCACCGATCCTGTTATCGCAAGATCAACTGGACGAGGGTTCTACAACTGACTTTGGTAGAGCCTTACTGGCCAGCAAGACTATGGTTCCCAGACCTCATAGATCTTCACGGCGAACCTGTACTACGACTCCCAGTCTGGCCGAATCTACTCGTCCATCCTCACACCAAGCAGCGACACGGCAACCCAAAAGCATTCCAGCTACAAGTATGGAACATATCACATACTGCTTGAAGGGTCGAGGATACTCCACTAGAGCAGCCAAGGCAGTAACCTTACCTCTACGTAGATCTACACGTAATCTATATGATGACAAGTGGAGAAGTTTTGAAGAGTATGCTGCTCAACATAAGTTCACGGCCAGAAGAGCGACTTATCCACAAGTAGCAGATTACTTGTGTCATTTGAGGTCCACTAGACATCTTAAGGGTTCCACATTGTCTACTTATCTTGCAGCAATCAGTTCGGTCATCACCATGAAGACAGGGGTGAAATTGACCAAAGTGCCTGAACTTATAGCCCTGCTGAGATCATTCAAGTTAGAAGATCAACAACAGAAGTTCAGGGCACCAGCTTGGGACCTCAATATAGTACTACAGCACCTCATAAGTGAGGTATATGAGCCGCTGACAGAGACGACATTTGAGTTATTAACTCAAAAAGATGATATTCCTCCTCGCCTTGGCTACTGCAGCTCAGATGTCTGAGATACACGCCCTTGACTTCAGCCGTATGAGATTTGACACGGGAAGAAGGGAAGCAGTCCATCTAGGCCTTAGATGGGACTTTATAGCCAAGAATCAGCTGCCGGGACAACCGGATTGTCAATTTTACGTTCCAGCATTATCAACTATCTTGGGTCCACAGGACACTCAAGATCTATCACTATGTCCGGTCAGAGCGCTGAAAATCTACTTGCAGAAATCTGCTACGAGACGGAGGAAGTTCAAGCGTCTATTTATCCCGCTATCACCCGCTACGACGGTAGAAGTCTCCCGTACTACGGTCTCCTTTTGGATCAGAGCGGTGATCTTAAGGGCCTACAAAGCAGCAGGGTTAGAACCTCCAAGAGCATCGCACCCTCATGAAGTAAGAGCATTGGCCTCGACACTCGCCCTACATGGAAACTGCTCAATATCATCTATAATGGAAGGCTGCTTTTGGAAGTCTTCGCTAACCACTACCTGAGAGACATCTCCATGGAAGATGTATCTGGTATACATCAATTCGGCCCTCTAGTCGTAGCGCAGCAACTCACTATGCCGGCCAGACGATGAAGAATCTCACCCTTGTCACTCAGACTCGTTGACGCCAGGCAACTGTTCCATTGCCATCGGCTAAGAGTCCATGTTCCCCTGTTTTACGAGATAAAACAGCGCATGAGTGATACATAGACTCAGTTATGGTAATGTTCTTGCCTTAACAGATGGGTTGCGATACCAGTTTCAGTAATTTTCTTACCGTAAACATATTGGATCGTTGCAGAATATCTAGACAACACAACGTCCAGCTATAGTATACTAAATCCACAAAACTTAAGAAGTTTACTTCTAATACGAACGTATATGTAATATGTAATTTTTATGATAAAATTAATATTTTATACTTATCCTGACTCATGAGATGAAGCCCTCCCAACCGTCCCCTCTCACCACACGGGTTTCCCTGTAGACCTGAGTGGGGCATATTTTTGGAGAGAGTGAGGACCAAGGCATGGGAGGTCACGTGCCAGGTTTTGGCGGGAAACCAGGGGAGGTAATAAAGGGTGAGTGATTGTACGTTCGCTTCAAGGGAATTGAAAGGATTCAAGTTTCCACTTGACCGTTCGGAAGAGAGGATGAGAAAGCAAATAATCATGAGTCAGGATAAGTATAAAATATTAATTTTATCATAAAAATTACATTATTGATAGAAGACATGAATTGTGAAATTGAAAATTTGTTGATAGAAGATATGAATTGTGAAATTGAAAATTTGTTCTGGCCTTTTGTTAAATAGCTGTCTTTTTCTGGAGTTTCAATTGTTGACTAGATATTTGTGATCCTGCCAACAGTCTCCATGTACTGTCTGTCCGTCCGTCCGTCCAGCAAATAAAAACCCATCTTGTAAACTACAGTAGCAATGAGTATTCTCTTCATTTATTTTCAAATGGTACATTACACAAACCTCATTTCATTATGATGAAGAATGCCAACATGTTAAATTCATCCAAAGACTTAACAGCAATAGATCCAATAGCTCTACAGGAATACAGGTTGACACAAACATTATATAGTTTTGGTTTTGAGAAAGAAATTCAAGCTGGTCATCCCCCATGGCAAATACCCAAACTGGAATTTAAAAATATTTAGAGAACTTGAAAAATATCAAGGCTAATTGTCTTATATAAAGTGTTTGAGAGCATACTAAGGTGGATGAGCACATCTTATGTTGGTGAGCATATCCTTGTTCCTCTTGCATACTGGTTTATGGATGGAATATTTTTTGTTCTAGTTCTTGGATGACAGAAATGGTGAAAACGGTATGTACTATTCTAAACTGTCAACAGTACATTGATCTTTGAGTACTTACATATATGTAATATGACAATTATTTCACTGAACTAATGAACGTCAGTGCCTACAAAAGGACATCATACACTAAAGGACCACAATCAGAACAAATAGCGCAAAATGTGAAATGAACCTCGCCATTGTGTTGTGCAATACATGCATGTATCATCTACACAGCAGAAGAAACCGACATACCTCAGAAGGTTGTACAAATTGTAAAGACATTTGGCGTTCTTCAATGTGTTGTCCTGTACACTGACATTCTTTTGTATACATTGGTTTTCTTTCATGTTTCACCTTTTGTCTGCAACCTGTATGGTGTCATGATTGTTCATGGACATTTGTTTTGTGTTTAGAGTTTCATTATTGTATGCAAATAATTACCTATGTTACTAACATATAACACTTTCTCAGAGCATTTGACTATTATTGCATACTGTTGTATGAATTGATGATAATTTTGACTGAATGACTGTCCATAGACTGGTTGTCAGTATCCCATGATAACAGATGAGGATCAGGTAGTCCCACTAGGTGACTGATACTCAGTAGTTATACCCACTGGTTAATCCAGGCACCGTTGTTGTTTACAAGTGGCATTGATATAGATGGAATATTTCTCACATTCATTCCCTCAGTCATGTTAAAGTATTAGCATGTACAACCATTCTGCTGTCCCCTGCCGTCATATTGCTAGAATATTGCTAAAAGCGGCGTAAAAACCAACTCACTCACTCACACAATAACAACCATTTTTTATCATATTATTCAAGCAGTTCATAATTAAGTCATTACATGTTCCAGCTACCTCCACCCCCACAGCCACCCCAGGGAACACCCAGTGCTCCTCATCCAGGTGGCCCACCCCCACCAGGCTTCAACCCTGGAGTAACAGGTACTGATAGTCTTGCATACATGTTTTTGTATTGTACAACAAATAATAGCTTATGTTTTGTAGTCTAATGAAAAATGTGTTCCAGTAGGTTTCAACACCAATACATGGTGACTATTGTAAAACTGTAGCCTGTTAACATTAATTTTTTCATGAGATAAGGTTTTTATTATTTTATATAACAATGTGGATATTGTCAGTGTGTCAGATTCTTCATCAACAACGTATCATATTTCTGTCTTTGTTGTGTATGTTTTCATTATCCTCATTGTATCATGATTTCTCTATCATTATACTTTGTACACAGTCATTTCCTTGACAAGATGCAGATCCTGTTTTTCTGTTCTTGCAATGAACACAACTCTGTGCAGTTTGTGTTTGTAAAGAGCTTTACTTTTGTTATCATGCCAATTTGTACAGTACAGGATTAGGGTGTAATAGATTATTTAGGAACATCAATTATATACTGAACCACAAAAGAAACATCACACATTAAAAGAGTATACGTTTCACACACGACATTAAAATTATACGGATTTTTTACACATTTTGAGATAATTTGACATCAGGAAGATAACAGACTCACAAAACCGCACTGTTTTGAACACACACGGATTCTGTGTACGGTTCAAATTTTGTCACTATCAGTGAACATGGTGATGCTCGCGAACGCATCTTTATGAGAAGCATGATAATCGTGTAAAACGTTTACTCATTGGGTATAAAAGGCACCCAAAATTACCAACCTGTCATACGTTTCCTAAACGCAGTGAGTATGCCAAGACTGATCGAAATCAGAGGGAGCAAGCTACCGGATATCTCCATGCTGGTCAACGTCCAAGGGTCATTGCTAATGACCTTAACTGCAGTATTCCGACAATTGAGTGTTTGAGGGAGCAGTACAATGCCAAAAACAACAGCACAGATGATCGCCCCAGCAGTGGTAGACTGAGGGTTACAACTGCACGTCAAGATCTCCACCTACTACACAGACAACACTTGCAGGACCGTTTCCGTAGGGCAACAGATTTAGCTCAGCAGACTATAGGCACTCACCACCGACCCATTTGTGCAGAGACTGTTCGCCGCCGGCTGAGAAATTTCAACCTGTATTGTCAACAACCTCACATATCGACATCGACGGCAACGTCTCCAGTGGGCTCAACAACGTCAGAACTGGCGATATCAACAGTGGAGGACCTTAGTCTTCTCCGACAAAAGTCGGTATTGTCTTTCTGTGACAGATGGGAGAGCTAAAGTTTGGAGAAGGAGAGGTGAACACTATACCGATGGCTGTTTTGCAGAGAGTGAAGCGTGGGGAGGACAGAGCATCATGGTATGGGGTGGTATTGCACTCAACCAGAAACTTGGACCTATTGTCTTTCGAGAACATTAGCCCAGGTTGAGGCAATGGAGTAGACGCTGCTCGCTACATTGACCAAGTGTAAAGACCTCACGTTGTGCCACAGTTTGCTCATCACCGGAATCACATGTTTCAACACGACAACGCCCGTGCCCCCACTGCCAGGCTAACAACAAACTTCCTCCAGCAGCACAACAGCCGCACACTGCAATGGCCTGCCCTAAGTCCGGATTTGAACCCTATAGAGCACCTCTGGGACAAAATCCAAAGAAGGCTGAATGACCTCCGACCAAGGCCGACAACTGCTGCACAGTTAACTGCAAGTTTTCACAGAGTGTGGACTAATATCCCCATGGCCTTCATCAATCGTTTTGTGCATTCAATGTACAGCTGTTTGGCAACTGGTGGTCAACACGAGGTGTTGAGTTCAACTCTCTAGATCAAGGACATGCCTTCATCACGTGACACCATGTTCAGCTAAACTTGTTCCAGGAGTGACTCTTCATCATCAGGAAAGAACGGTTCCTTAACTATCACTCTTAAATCAATGCCACAGCTATCTGTAAATAAACCAGTTTCCATTTTGTATGTGTGTGATGTTTCTGTTGTGGTTCAGTATATAATATATTTGCCTCACTAGATTTAAGATGTTTGAGAATCTGTACCATTGATGTCTTCATGATGCCAATGGTTCAAGTTTATCATGAGTAAGTTATACTATGATATTTGATTAAAACAGGTGCTCCTCCTCATTATCCTCCATCCCAGTCAAGCCAAGCCCCACCCCCTTACTATCAGGGTCCGCAGCAAAGGCAAGGTAATGTGCCCTACCCCCAGCAGCGAGGTGGACACTACCCCCAGCAGCGAGGAGGATACAATGGAGGGAACACTACTGTTGTTGTACAGGACCGGGGCAGGAGAGGGTCAGGGGATGGTCTTGCAACAGGTATGTCTTGCCTCTTTCTATAGTAACCTTTCCAGACCTTTGTTTTAATCTGTTTCAATGAAAGTAAAATAGTGATTTCTTCTGACAGAGACTTTTGTTTCAAAGTACTTGGCAACTCATAGCAATACCACAGCAAGCCCTCATTTTCAATGTCACATTAACATGTATAGCTATTACTTTTGAAGTTGTGACAATTTCCTCAATGCTTCCTCTTGCTTCTGTTACAGGCATGCTGATGGGAGCTGCTCTTGGTTATGGCATGAGTCGACCTTGGGGCTTTGGCTATGGGTGGGGGCATGGGGGTTACGGGGGTTACGGAGGCTGGGGATCTGGAGGCTACCATGAGGGTGACAACATCACTGTCAACAACCATTATGATGTTGACAATACAAACATTGAAAACACAAACATTACAGAGAATAACGTAGAGAATAACTATGATCAGGGGGGACATGATCAGGGAGGTTATGATCAGGGGATATGATCAGGGAGGTTATGATCAGGGGATATGATCAGGGAGGTTATGATCAGGGGGGATATGATCAGGGAGGTTATGATCAGGGGGGATATGACGATGGAGGATATGACGATGGAGGATATGATGGGGGATATGATGACTTTGGGGGTGGTGATGATTTTGGTGGAGGTGATTTTGATGGGGGTGATTAAAATGTTGTTATATTTTGATCTTGTGATAATCGAAACTATTCTTCAGGGGTCAAATGATATATTGTTTCTCTTTGGAGGATATATGAGTAATTGCCTCCTGTGAATTACGTCCTGTGTCTTACCACTTGGTGTTTACAAATCACTTAGTGAAACTTGTTGACTTCATCTGTGCCATAAAGCCATGCTCATAAGTACTCATAGTTACTTCGTCCTCGTGGCTGAATGTTGCAAGTGTAATTATGGCACATTCTCTGCAGTAAACTGACACATCTTTTCTGAAACAACAAGGTCTTTGAAGCTGAAACCAAGCATAGATGATCTTAGCTAATCACATGACACGGACCAAATCTTGAACACCACGTCCATGTTGGTAATATTTGTACATATCTGCATGTGATATTAATAGATCCTATACAATATCTGTTTAAGCATTGGAAATAACATCTGGTGATACTGTTACAGTTTGGTTGTTTAACCTACTGCGACTTTTAGCCCACATGCCTATTAACGAGTTATGTTCATGATGTCTGACCAGCCTTAACCTTGGACCAAAGTCTGGATATCAAAGTGCTCCGTTACTCTAGTACGTGTATTGTGAAATCTATGCAATGACGATATCTGTCTTTTAATTTCTTTGTAAGGCTTTTCAGATGTTATTATATTGAGGACACAATGAGATGTGATGATGACCTATAGATCTATCCTGTAGGTATATACTGTGCCTTTATAACATGGACGTGTCAGGATGGAGTTCAGAAGAATCCCAACAATCATGTGTTTCTGTGAGTAGTTGCTGTATGATGCACCTGCAGGTGAAGCTGATGTTGATGGGCCTATCACTGTCCAAGGACCACTTATCATATGTCAATTTCATGACTGAACAACACAAAGACAGGAGACAGTGTTAATACAAACTTGTCTTATCTCTACACAGTTCCAGATTGTTAACATTAGCATCCAGTTAACTGAATGTTCTTTTATTCAGACCATGAACAAGAAAAGAGCACAATGTTTGACAATTGTGGTGGAAATTTAGGGAGGCCTGAGGCTCTATTGTATCCACAGGCTGTGTCTCAAAATGTGCCAATAATATTTCTCCGAACTACAACCAAAATTATTACAACCTTTTTGGATTAGATTTGCAAATTAGTCTCTGAATGAAAAGAAACATACTTATGACAGGTATGGCAACAGGAAAATCTATTTTCAGCTGAAAGCTTAATACTGCGTCATCGATTCAGCCTTTCCAAACGGATTTAGCCGATTCACAGAATTGAACAATTTGAAATAAAATACTAGTAGGTGGAAATCTGCGGGACAGTAGAAAATTGCCATGCCTGTAATGAAAATATATGAAGTTGTGTACATTATTGCATCACTGTGCATCTGTTGGTGAGATGCATTGTTTCCATGTCAGGAGGCTAATACTGTATTTTCCTCTAAAGTGCTACCCATGTATGGCAAGATACACATGAGACACTAGTCCTCCTGTAAGGTATCTAGGGACTTTCATCTTCACTTCACACACTGGATGTTGCCTATTGTCAAACGAATGACCAGTGGTCCGAGCACTTCTGGGGGCAATCCAGTATTGATTCCATTACCTTGTATATTCACATTCCATTTCCTATGTATATTGTTTACAGAAGCTGGTCTTATAATCTGCACAGAATATACTTGCTTGTAGACAGTGGTCAGTGTGATTACCAGTGAACACTTACAAGTGCTTATTCTAGGCTTATACAGAAACAAAACTCTTGAGACAATATTGAGTTTAAAAGAATATGTTATTTTGCTATCATAAAACTGTTGGAATATTTTTCATTGTATTTAATTTGCCAGTATGATTTGAAATTTTGAAATTCCCCTTAAATTTTCATCAACAGAAACATGTTGTAATATTATGAATGTTTTGCTGGTTGTACAGCATAGTCATGTGTGGTGAGTTGTACATGTTGTACACACAAGGGATCATTGGTATGTTCTGTGCCTCACTTAGACGTGATCTAAATATATATTGTGTCGTGTGTTACTTTTCAAGATAATCCCAATCCTCACTGATATACCATTGGCAATGGAGCTAGAGATATTTTGTCACCATTTGAGAAGTCCTTCTTGTGATTGTCAGAACAGTTCTCCACGACTGTGGGTCCTGATAGAGTTCAGCTGCACTGCCGGATGGAAGCCATGGCAGTGACTTATCCTGATGGAAGAACACACCGTTACACGCATGTCTTTGTCAAATTTCCCTGTGATAATTTGCAAGGCCCTCCCTGCTACTCTTGAACTCTGCCAGTCTCCCTGTGTGTGGTGGACAGGCTTTCTTCCACAGTGGTGTATCTCAACCTTCAGAAATGGCTTTTTCTTTGTCTTAACATTTTCTGCAATTACTCATTGGCTTCATGTTTCTCAAGTTTTTACATTTTTCAAAGGTCACATATGCCTGCTTGTTTTACCGTCTTGTCACAGGGAAACAAATTGCTGTTTTTGTGGATGAGATATCATGTAACATCAACAACAACAAAATTTACAATTATGCAATTCCTTCTTTGTGAGGCTTATAGTTATCAGTCAGCCCTCTGAAGAGGCCAGTATTTGTATTTCCACGGTCATCCTTGCAAGGACATATTTAGAATGCTGAAGTCTGCTATGAGTGTCCAGATACAGACACAAGAAACCACAGGCTTATGTTTCTTAAATAATTATAAAATATTTTGTGTGTGTGTGTGTGTGTGTGTGTGTGACAGCTTTAGTAGGCCGATGGGTAAACACATGTAGGTGTCACCCTATTATAAATGACTAGTTCATTCTGTTTATCAGTGATGTATTACCCTGCTATCCCACAACTGACTGTCTGTTGCTGGTAACTGAGTGACAAGATAGAAGTCTGTAGTTGGACTTTTCACCTGTTTGAAAATCAAATTGTTTTTATAGTATTATATTGATGTACACATTTCTTCTCCGGAGTATCAGGCCATTCTACTTTCACTACAGTAGTGCTAAACTACCACATTTCTCTATGAAACTGATCTATACCAGCCGTCCATCATTTTAAATAATGTGTGGGAGACCATGCGATTCCATTCTGGATCATATTTGATTCTAGTAAAGGTTGTGACATTGGTTTGAATGTCAAGGACTGGAATGTCCACGGAGACTGATGGCAGCTGCTTCTATGTCCCTGTTGGACACCTTGTACATTTATATGGTATCCAGTTTTACATGTTTTTTTTGTGTAATATTTGTGTCAATCTGCTCTTGATGCTGAAAATTGAATTTATTTTTATGATATATACAATAATTTTCTTATAAAAATGTGAAAGTTGTTGGTCAGTACATTTATTGTTTACTTTACATTTATCAAACTACCTTTCTTTAGATACACATGTTGTTATGTTTCCACTTTTAGAGATATATGTATTTATGAAATGTTGTTATGTTTACAGCAAGTACTGTGATAATGTATTCCCTGAATCTCAATAAATCCAATCTTCAACAAATTCCCATGCACTTTTATTTACATTTCATTTGACCTTGCTTTATGCAAGTCTCGAGATGTTGTTACTCATCATGTTACGTCATTAACCTCTACTACAATACTACCTAACATTTAGACATGACACAGTAATGCATGTAAGCATGCCTGTATAAGTGTTTCGTAGAGATAGAGAGTCAAGGCATCTCACAGTGATTGTATCACCCAATGTGTACTACTACTACTACTACTACTACTACTTCTGTGACTACTATAAGAGTTACCATCTTGTGCATCCCAGAATACTGCATCAAATAATGCAGAGACAGAAAATTAACTTTTGGGTAAATTTAATTCAGAATAAACATATGCAGATAAATGAAGAGTTGTATGGTCTTATGTTTAGCCTACATCTCTGTGATAGGTTGGATTGAATATCTGTAGTTGGCTGAAGATTCCTCTCAGACATAGATTTTTCGAGGCCTTCCTTTCCTAACAATTTCCTAAAGTATACCAACCACACTATCCCTGAAGCTAAAGGTGAGAGGTTGCTGGTCCTACTTATATATGATCCATGAGGCACCAATGTCTATCTTGAGTGTTTGGGGACATAGATACAGTCAAATAACAAACATATGTGCCTCCACAATGTGGTGTCCATTATGTGCTTCCTCTGGTCTATGGTAAGTACATGGGTCTGCCTTTGTCCATATGTCCATTGATAATAGATCAGGTGAGCCTTCTACATAATGATCTTGGAGGCATTCTCAAAAGTCATCAACTGATGTTTCAAGCCTGGCAAAGGCAAAGATCCACTTGGGATTGAGGATGGAGTGGTAATACTTAACAGTTATGAAGAAGAAAACCTCTTGTTAAGATTTTGACTTCGAATTTATTATTACAATATATCCTAAAAGATGACTTATATCATCAGTGTGACACATACAGTAAGATATCCTGAATCACAAGTGTGACCTATGCTGTTCTGTGTCATCTGTGACACAAACTGTAAGATGTCCTGTGTCATCTGTGTCTGTGACACATGCTGTATGATGTAACATGTCACCCATGTTGGTGTTACTTGTGACACATGCTGTAGGATGTAACATGTCACCCATGTTGGTCTAACTTGTGACTCATGCTGTAGGATGTAACATGTCACCCCCATGTTGGCCTAACCTGTGACACATGCTGTAGGATGTAACATGTCACCCATGTTGGTCTAACTTGTGACTCATGCTGTAGGATGTAACATGTCACCCATGTTGGTGTTACTTGTGACTCATGCTGTAGGATGTAACATGTCACCCATGTTGGCCTAATCTGTGACACATGCTGTAGGATGTAACATGTCACCCATGTTGGTGTTACTTGTGACACATGCTGTAGGATGTAACATGTCACCCATGTTGGTCTAACTTGTGACTCATGCTGTAGGATGTAACATGTCACCCCCATGTTGGCCTAACCTGTGACACATGCTGTAGGATGTAACATGTCACCCATGTTGGCCTAACCTGTGACACATGCTGTAGGATGTAACATGTCACCCATGTTGGCCTAACCTGTGACTCATGCTGTAGGATGTAACATGTCACCCATGTTGGCCTCACCTGTGACACATGCTGTAGGATGTAACATGTCACCCATGTTGGTCTAACTTGTGACTCATGCTGTAGGATGTAACATGTCACCCATGTTGGTCTAACTTGTGACACATGCTGTAGGATGTAACTTGTCACCCATGTTGGCCTAACCTGTGACACATGCTGTAGGATGTAACATGTCACCCATGTTGGCCTAACCTGTGACACATGCTATAGGATGTAACATGTCACCCATGTTGGACTAACCTGTGACTCATGCTCTAGGATGTAACATGTCACCCATGTTGGCCTAACCTGTGACTCATGCTGTAGGATGTAACATGTCACCCATGTTGGCCTAACTTGTGACTCATGCTGTAGGATGTAACATGTCACCCATGTTGGTCTAACTTGTGACACATGCTGTAGGATGTAACATGTCACCCATGATTGGCCTAACCTGTGACACATGCTGTAGGATGTAACTTGTCACCCGTGTTGGCCTAACCTGTGACACATGCTGTAGGATGTAACATGTCACCCATGTTGGCCTAACCTGTGACACATGCTATAGGATGTAACATGTCACCCATGTTGGACTAACCTGTGACTCATGCTCTAGGATGTAACATGTCACCCATGTTGGCCTAACCTGTGACTCTTGCTCTAGGATGTAACATGTCACCCATGTTGGTCTAACTTGTGACTCATGCTGTAGGATGTAACATGTCACCCATGTTGGTGTTACTTGTGACTCATGCTGTAAGATGTAACATGTCACCCATGTTGGTTTAACTTGTGACTCATGCTGTAGGATGTAACATGTCACCCATGTTGGCCTAACCTGTGACACATGCTGTAGGATGTAACATGTCACCCATGTTGGTCTAACTTGTGACTCATGCTGTAGGATGTAACATGTCACCCCCATGTTGGCCTAACCTGTGACACATGCTGTAGGATGTAACATGTCACCCATGTTGGTCTAACTTGTGACTCATGCTGTAGGATGTAACATGTCACCCATGTTGGTGTTACTTGTGACTCATGCTGTAGGATGTAACATGTCACCCATGTTGGCCTAATCTGTGACACATGCTGTAGGATGTAACATGTCACCCATGTTGGTGTTACTTGTGACACATGCTGTAGGATGTAACATGTCACCCATGTTGGTCTAACTTGTGACTCATGCTGTAGGATGTAACATGTCACCCCCATGTTGGCCTAACCTGTGACACATGCTGTAGGATGTAACATGTCACCCATGTTGGCCTAACCTGTGACACATGCTGTAGGATGTAACATGTCACCCATGTTGGCCTAACCTGTGACTCATGCTGTAGGATGTAACATGTCACCCATGTTGGCCTCACCTGTGACACATGCTGTAGGATGTAACATGTCACCCATGTTGGTCTAACTTGCGACTCATGCTGTAGGATGTAACATGTCACCCATGTTGGTCTAACTTGTGACACATGCTGTAGGATGTAACTTGTCACCCGTGTTGGCCTAACCTGTGACACATGCTGTAGGATGTAACATGTCACCCATGTTGGCCTAACCTGTGACACATGCTATAGGATGTAACATGTCACCCATGTTGGACTAACCTGTGACTCATGCTCTAGGATGTAACATGTCACCCATGTTGGCCTAACCTGTGACTCATGCTGTAGGATGTAACATGTCACCCATGTTGGCCTAACTTGTGACTCATGCTGTAGGATGTAACATGTCACCCATGTTGGTCTAACTTGTGACACATGCTGTAGGATGTAACATGTCACCCGTATTGGCCTAACCTGTGACACATGCTGTAGGATGTAACTTGTCACCCGTGTTGGCCTAACCTGTGACACATGCTGTAGGATGTAACATGTCACCCATGTTGGCCTAACCTGTGACACATGCTATAGGATGTAACATGTCACCCATGTTGGACTAACCTGTGACTCATGCTCTAGGATGTAACATGTCACCCATGTTGGCCTAACCTGTGACTCTTGCTCTAGGATGTAACATGTCACCCATGTTGGTCTAACTTGTGACTCATGCTGTAGGATGTAACATGTCACCCATGTTGGTGTTACTTGTGACTCATGCTGTAAGATGTAACATGTCACCCATGTTGGTTTAACTTGTGACTCATGCTGTAGGATGTAACATGTCACCCATGTTGGCCTAACCTATGACACATGCTGTAGGATGTAACATGTCACCCATGTTGGCCTAACCTGTAACACATGCTCTAGGATGTAACATGTCACCCATGTTGGCCTAACCTGAGACATATGCTGTAGGATGTAACATGTCACCCATGTTGGTCTAGGTTGAGACACTGAGTTGGCAGTGCCCCTCTGAACACCTGATAATGATGGTTGAGTCCAGGTTGAACATGCAGCTTGTAGCGGGTACCAAGAGCTCCTTCTGGATGTGGACTGCTGTAGAAGACACGACCAATGCGGGAATGGACCAGAGACATAGCACACCTGCACAGGAAAACATACACTAAAATAACAGCAAAAAGAACAAGTTGTCTCTTTGAGAAAATGCGTTGTCGCAAATTCAAGTGACAGGGAAATGGTCATGAAGATAGAATCATACAGGTTTAGACTTACATTATACAGGGTTCACTGTTCACATATAGGTCATATCCTGTACACAGGTACGGTCCAACTTTGGTGCAGCCATCTCTTGAAGGTTGTGTGACAGTATCTGCTGTAGAGTGGTATTTCATATCACTGTCTGAAACAGATTATGTAACCAACAGTAAAAATGCAAACTATGCTGGACACTTAACAGCAGTTCCTGTCAGCATTGCTAGTCATATTTTCTGCATAGATACTGAGGTCAAATAAACTTACTAAATGTTGACAATGTTTTCACATCATCAGGAATGAATGGATTATTCGAACCTTTTGAAGTAATGTAGAAGTGAACATTGTTTGGAACAGGTTTCACCTTCATTGTTGGTCTAAAAACTTCTTTGCACACAATGTTCATATTTTTCGCACATGCTTTTGAGCGAATTTACGAACATTGTCCTCAATTTCAAAAGTCCAAATTTAAAATATTAGAAAAAATAGGAAATTATTTGCATACATGTATTTTTCTGTCAGCAGACCACCTGCTGTACATACCCTATATATCTCACCTCCAATGGTGTATATCCTGTATATCCCACCTCCCTGTCAGCACACCACCTGGTGTATGCACCCTGTATATGCCACCCCCTGGTCAGCAGATCACCTGGTGTATACACCCTGTATATCCCACCTCCCTGTCAGCACACCACCTGGTGTATACACCCTGTATATCCCACCTCCCTGTCCGCAGACCACCTGGTGTATACACCCTGTATATCCCACCTCCCTGTCCGCAGACCACCTGTGTATACACGCTGCATATCCCACCTCCCATGGTGTATACATCCTGTATATCCCACCTCCATGTCAGCAGACCACCTGGTGTATACATCCTGTATATACCACCTCCCTGTCAGCAGACCACCTGCTGTATACACCCTGTATATCCCACCTCCCTCTCCGCAGACCACCTGGTGCATACACCCTGTATATCTCACCTCCCTGTCCGCAGACCACCTGTGTATACACGCTGCTTATCCCACCTCCCATGGAGTATACATCCTGTATATCCCACCTCCCTGTCAGCAGACCACATGGTGTATACACCCTGTATATCCCACCTCCCTGTCAGCAGATCACCTGATGTATACACGCTGCATATCCCACCTCCCATGGTGTATACATCCTGTATATCCCACCTCCCTGTCAGCAGACTACCTGGTGTATACATCCTATATATCCCATCTCCCTGTCAACAGAGCACCTTGTGTACATACCCTGTATATCCCACCTCCCTGTCAGCAGAGCACCTGGTGTATACACCCTGTATATCCCACCTCCCTGTCAGCAGAGCACCTGGTGTACATTTCCTGTATATCCCACCTCCATGTCAGCAGACCACCTGGTGAACATACCCTGTATATCCCACCTCCCTGTCAGCAGACCACCTGCTGTACATACCCTGTATATCCCCCCTCCCTGTCCACAGAGCACCTTGTGTACGTACCCTGTATATTCCACCTCCCTGTCAGCACACCATCTGTTGTATACACCCTGTATATCCCACTTCCCTGTCAGCAGAGCACCTGTTGTATACACCCTGTATATCCCACTTCCCTGTCAGCAGAGCACCTGGTGTATACACCCTGTATATCCCACTTCCCTGTCAACAGAGCACCTGGTGTATACATGCTGTATATCCCACGTCCCTGTCAGCAGAGCACCTGTTGTATACACCCTGTATATCCCACTTCCCTGTCAGCAGAGCACCTGGTGTATACACCCTGTATATCCCACTTCCCTGTCAACAGAGCACCTTGTGTACATACCCTGTATATCCCACTTCCCTGTCAGCAGAGCACCTGGTGTATACACCCTGTATATCCCACTTCCCTGTCAACAGAGCACCTTGTGTACATACCCTGTATATCCCACCTCCCTGTCAGCAGAGCACCTGGTGTATACACCCTGTATATCCCACCTCCCTGTCAGCAGAGCACCTGCTGTACATACCCTGTATATCCCACCTCCCTGTCAACAGACCACCTGGTGTATACATGCTGTATATCCCACGTCCCTGTCAACAGAGCACCTGTTGTACATACCCTGTATATCCCACCTCCAATGGTGTATATCCTGTATATTCCACCTCCCTGTCAGCAGACCACCTGGTGTATACATCCTGTATATCCCACCTCCCTGTCCACAGAGCACCTTGTGTACATACCCTGTATATCCCACCTCCCTGTCAGCACACCACCTGTTGTATACACCCTGTATATCCCACTTCCCTGTCAGCAGAGCACCTGGTGTATACACCCTGTATATCCCACTTCCCTGTCAACAGAGCACCTTGTGTACATACCCTGTATATCCCACCTCCCTGTCAGCAGAGCACCTGGTGTATACACCCTGTATATCCCACCTCCCTGTCAGCAGAGCACCTGCTGTACATACCCTGTATATCCCACCTCCCTGTCAGCAGACCACCTGGTGTACTTACCCTGTATATCCCACCTCCCTGTCAACAGAGCACCTGGTGTACATACCCTGTATATCCCACCTCCCTGTCAGCACACCACCTGGTGTACATACCCTGTATATCCCACCTCCCTGTCAGCAGACCACCTGCTGTACATACCCTGTATATCCCACCTCCCTGTCCACAGAGCACCTTGTGTACATACCCTGTATATCCCACCTCCCTGTCAGCAGAGCACCTGGTGTATACACCCTGTATATCCCACCTCCCTGTCAGCAGAGCACCTGCTGTACTACACTGTATATCCCACCTCCCTGTCAACAGACCACCTGGTGTATACATGCTGTATATCCCACGTCCCTGTCAACAGAGCACCTGTTGTACATACCCTGTATATCCCACCTCCAATGGTGTATATCCTGTATATTCCACCTCCCTGTCAGCAGACCACCTGGTGTATACATCCCGTATATCCCATCTCCCTGTCCACAGAGCACCTTGTGTACATACCCTGTATATCCCACCTCCCTGTCAGCACACCACCTGTTGTATACACCCTGTATATCCCACTTCCCTGTCAGCAGAGCACCTGGTGTATACACCCTGTATATCCCACTTCCCTGTCAACAGAGCACCTTGTGTACATACCCTGTATATCCCACCTCCCTGTCAGCAGAGCACCTGGTGTATACACCCCTGTATATCCCACCTCCCCTGTCAGCAGAGCACCTGCTGTACATACCCTGTATATCCCACCTCCCTGTCAGTAGACCACCTGGTGTACTTACCCTGTATATCCCACCTCCCTGTCAACAGAGCACCTGGTGTACATACCCTGTATATCCCACCTCCCTGTCAGCAGACCACCTGGTGTACATACCCTGTATATCCCACCTCCCTGTCAGCAGACCACCTGGTGTACATACCCTGTATATCCCACCTCCCTGTCCACAGAGCACCTTGTGTACATACCCTGTATATCCCACCTCCTGTCAGCACACCACCTGTTGTATACACACCCTGTATATCCCACTTCCCTGTCAGCAGAGCACCTGGTGTATACACCCTGTATATCCCACTTCCTGTCAACAGAGCACCTTGTGTACATACCCTGTATATCCCACCTCCCTGTCAGCAGAGCACCTGATGTATACATCCTGTATATCCCACCTCCCTGTCCACAGAGCACCTTGTGTACATACCCTGTATATCCCACCTCCCTGTCAGCACACCACCTGTTGTATACACCCTGTATATCCCACTTCCCTGTCAGCAGAGCACCTGGTGTATACACCCTGTATGTCCCACTACCCTGTCAACAGAGCACCTTTTGTGTACATATGTATACCTGTGTATATCCCACCTCCCTGTCAGCAGAGCACCTGTACATACCCTGTATATCCCACCTCCTTGTCAGCAGAGCACCCTGGTGTACATACACCCTGTATATCCCACCTCCCTGTCAACAGAGCACCACACCCTGTGTACCCATTCCAATGGTGTATATCCTATATTCCACCTCCCTGTCAGCAGACCACCTGCATACATCCTGTATATCCCACTTCCTGTCCACACACCTGTGTACATACTTCCCACTGTCAGCAGAGCACCTGGTGTATACACCCTGTATATCCCACTTCCCTGTCAACAGAGCACCTTGTGTACATACCCTGTATATCCCACCTCCCTGTCAGCAGAGCACCTGATGTATACATCCTGTATACCTCCCCACCTCCCTGTCCACAGAGCACCTTGTGTACATACCTCTGTATATCCTGACCTCCCTGTCAGCACACCACCTGTTGTATACACCCTGTATATCCCACTTCCCTGTCAGCAGAGCACCTGGTGTATACACCCCTGTATATCCCACTTCCCTGTCAACAGAGCACCTTGTGTACATACCCTGTATATCCCACCTCCCTGTCAGCAGAGCACCTGGTGTATACACCCTGTATATCCCACCTCCCTGTCAGCAGAGCACCTGCTGTACATACCCTGTATATCCCACCTCTCCCTGTCAGCAGACCACCTGGTGTACTACATCCTGTATATCCCACCTCCCTGTCAACAGAGCACCTGGTGTACATACCCTGTATATCCCACCTCCCTGTCAGCACACCACCTGGTGTACATACCCTGTATATCCCACCTCCCTGTCAGCAGATCCACCTGTGTACATACATATCCCACTTCCTGTCCACAGAGCACCTTGTGTACATACTCTGTATATCCCACCTCCCTGTCAGCAGAGCACCTGGTGTATACACCCTGTATATCCCACTTCCTGTCAGCAGAGCACCTGCTGTAATGCATTCTGTATATCCCCTGTCAACAGACCACCTGGTGTATACATGCTGTATATCCCACTTCCCCTGTCAACAGAGCACCTGCTGTACATACCCTGTATATCCCACCTCCAATGGTGTATATCCTGTATATTCCACCTCCCTGTCAGCAGACCACCTGGTGTATACATCCTGTATATCCCACCTCCCTGTCCACAGAGCACCTTGTGTACATACCCTGTATATCCCACCTCCCTGTCAGCACACCACCTGTTGTATACACCCTGTATATCCCACTTCCCTGTCAGCAGAGCACCTGGTGTATACACCCTGTATATCCCACTTCCCTGTCAACAGAGCACCTTGTGTACATACCCTGTATATCCCACCTCCCTGTCAGCAGAGCACCTGGTGTATACACCCTGTATATCCCACCTCCCTGTCAGCAGAGCACCTGCTGTACATACCCTGTATATCCCACCTCCCTGTCAGTAGACCACCTGGTGTAGTTACCCTGTATATCCCACCTCCCTGTCAACAGAGCACCTGGTGTACATACCCTGTATATCCCACCTCCCTGTCAGCAGACCACCTGGTGTACATACCCTGTATATCCCACCTCCCTGTCAGCAGACCACCTGGTGTACATACCCTGTATATCCCACCTCCCTGTCCACAGAGCACCTTGTGTACATACCCTGTATATCCCACCTCCCTGTCAGCACACCACCTGTTGTATACACCCTGTATATCCCACTTCCCTGTCAGCAGAGCACCTGGTGTATACACCCTGTATATCCCACTTCCCTGTCAACAGAGCACCTTGTGTACATACCCTGTATATCCCACCTCCCTGTCAGCAGAGCACCTGATGTATACATCCTGTATATCCCACCTCCCTGTCCACAGAGCACCTTGTGTACATACCCTGTATATCCGACCTCCCTGTCAGCACACCACCTGTTGTATACACCCTGTATATCCCACTTCCCTGTCAGCAGAGCACCTGGTGTATACACCCTGTATGTCCCACTTCCCTGTCAACAGAGCACCTTGTGTACATACCCTGTATATCCCACCTCCCTGTCAGCAGAGCACCTGGTGTATACACCCTGTATATCCCACCTCCCTGTCAGCAGAGCACCTGCTGTACATACCCTGTATATCCCACCTCCCTGTCAACAGACCACCTGGTGTATACATGCTGTATATCCCACGTCCCTGTCAACAGAGCACCTGTTGTACATACCCTGTATATCCCACCCAATGGTGTATATCCTGTATATTCCACCTCCTGTCAGCAGACCACCTGGTGTATACATCCTGTATATCCCACCTCCCTGTCCATTGTGTACATACCCTGTATATCCCACCTCCCTGTCAGCAGAGCACCTGTTGTATACACCCTGTATATCCCACTTCCCTGTCAGCAGAGCACCTGGTGTATACACCCTGTATATCCCACTTCCCTGTCAACAGAGCACCTTGTGTACATACCCTGTATATCCCACCTCCCTGTCAGCAGAGCACCTGGTGTATACACCATCTATATATCCAACCTCCCTGTCAGCAGAGCACCTGCTGTACATACCCTGTATATCCCACCTCCCTGTCCACAGAGCACCTTGTGTACATACCCTGTATATCCAACGTCCCTGTCAACAGAGCACCTGCTGTACATACCCTGTATATCCCACCTCCCTGTCAGCAGAGCACCTGGTGTACGTACCCTGTATATCCCACCTCCCTGTCAACAGACCACCTGGTGTATACATCCTGTATATCCCACCTCCCTGTCAGCAGAGCACCTGGTGTACATACCCTGTATATCCCACCTCCCTGTCAGCAGACCACCTGGTGTACATACCCTGTATATCCCACCTCCCTGTCCACAGAGCACCTTGTGTACATACCCTGTATATCCCACCTCCCTGTCAGCACACCACCTGTTGTATACACCCTGTATATCCCACTTCCCTGTCAGCAGAGCACCTAGTGTATACACCCTGTATATCCCACTTCCCTGTCAACAGAGCACCTTGTGTACATACCCTGTATATCCCACCTCCCTGTCAGCAGAGCACCTGGTGTATACATCCTGTATATCCCACCTCCCTGTCCACAGAGCACCTTGTGTACATACCCTGTATATCCCACCTCCCTGTCAGCAGAGCACCTGGTGTATACACCCTGTATATCCCACCTCCCTGTAAGCAGAGCACCTGCTGTACATACCCTGTATATCCCACCTCCCTGTCAACAGACCACCTGGTGTATACATCATGTATATCCAACGTCAATGTCAACAGAGCACCTGCTGTACATACCCTGTACATCCCACCTCCCTGTCAGCAGAGCACCTGGTGTACATACCCTGTATATCCCACCTCCCTGTCAGAAGAGCACCTGGTGTACATACCATGTATATCCCACCTCCCTGTCAGCAGAGCACCTGGTGTACATACCCTGTATATCCCACCTCCCTGTCAGCAGAGCACTTGCTGTACATACCCTGTATATCCCACCTCCCTGTCAGCAGAGCACCTGGTGTACATACCATGTATATCGCACCTCCCTGTCAACAGAGCACCTGGTGTACATACCCTGTATATCCCACCTCCCTGTCAGCACACCACCTGTTGTATACACCCTGTATATCCCACTTCCCTGTCAGCAGAGCACCTGGTGTATACACCCTGTATATCCCACTTCCCTGTCAACAGAGCACCTTGTGTACATACCCTGTATATCCCACCTCCCTGTCAGCAGAGCACCTGGTGTATACATCCTGTATATCCCACCTCCCTGTCCACAGAGCACCTTGTGTACATACCCTGTATATCCCACCTCCCTGTCAGCACACCACCTGTTGTATACACCCTGTATATCCCACTTCCCTGTCAGCAGAGCACCTGGTGTATACACCCTGTATATCCCACTTCCCTGTCAACAGAGCACCTTGTGTACATACCCTGTATATCCCACCTCCCTGTCAGCAGAGCACCTGGTGTATACACCCTGTATATCCCACCTCCCTGTCAGCAGAGCACCTGCTGTACATACCCTGTATATCCCACCTCCCTGTCAACAGACCACCTGGTGTATACATGCTGTATATCCCACGTCCCTGTCAACAGAGCACCTGTTGTACATACCCTGTATATCCCACCTCCAATGGTGTATATCCTGTATATTCCACCTCCCTGTCAGCAGACCACCTGGTGTATACATCCTGTATATCCCACCTCCCTGTCCACAGAGCACCTTGTGTACATACCCTGTATATCCCACCTCCCTGTCAGCACACCACCTGTTGTATACACCCTGTATATCCCACTTCCCTGTCAGCAGAGCACCTGGTGTATACACCCTGTATATCCCACTTCCCTGTCAACAGAGCACCTTGTGTACATACCCTGTATATCCCACCTCCCTGTCAGCAGAGCACCTGGTGTATACTGACTGACTGACTGAGTTTAGTTTTACGCCGCTTTTAGCAATATTCCAGCAATATCACGGCGGGGGACACCAGAAATGGGCTTAACACATTGTGCCCATGTGGGGAATCGAACCCGGGTCTTCGACGTGACGAGCCAACGCTTTAACCACTAGGCTACCCCACCGCCCCACCCTGGTGTATACACCATCTATATATCCAACCTCCCTGTCAGCAGAGCACCTGCTGTACATACCCTGTATATCCCACCTCCCTGTCAACAGACCACCTGGTGTATACATCATGTATATCCAACGTCCCTGTCAACAGAGCACCAGCTGTACATACCCTGTATATCCCACCTCCCTGTTAGCACACCACCTTTTGTGTACACCATGTATATCCCACTTTCCTGTCAGCAGAGCACCTGTTGTATACACCCTGTATATCCCACCTCCCTGTCAGCAGAGCACCTGGTGTACATACCCTGTATATCCCACCTCCCTGTCAACAGAGCACCTGGTGTACATACCCTGTATATCCCACCTCCCTGTCCACAGAGTACCTTGTGTACATACCCTGTATATCCCACCTCCCTGTTAGCACACCACCTTTTGTATACACCCTGTATATCCCACTTCCCTGTCAGCAGAGCACCTGTTGTATACACCCTGTATATCCCACTTCCCTGTCAGTAGAGCACCTTGTGTACATACCCTGTATATCCCACCTCCCTGTCAGCAGAGCACCTGGTATATACATCCTGTATATCCCACCTCCCTGTCCACAGAGCACCTTGTGTACATACCCTGTATATCCCACCTCCCTGTCAGCAGAGCACCTGGTGTATACATCCTGTATATCCCACCTCCCTGTCCACAGAGCACCTTGTGTACATACCCTGTATATCCCACCTCCCTGTCAGCAGAGCACCTGTTGTATACACCCTGTATATCCCACTTCCCTGTCAGCAGAGCACCTGGTGTATACATCCTGTATATCCCATGTCCCTGTCAGCAGAGCACCTGGTGTACATACCCTGTATATCCCACCTCCCTGTCAGCAGACCACCTGGTGTACATACCCTGTATATCCCACCTCCCTGTCCACAGAGCACCTTGTGTACATACCCTGTATATCCCACCTCCCTGTCCACAGAGCACCTTGTGTACATACCCTGTATATCCCACCTCCCTGTCAGCACACCACCTGTTGTATACACCCTGTATATCCCACTTCCCTGTCAGCAGACCACCTGGTGTATACACCCTGTATATCCCACTTCCCTGTCAACAGAGCACCTGGTGTACATACCATGTATATCCCACCTCCCTGTCAGCAGAGCACCTGGTGTACATACCCTGTATATCCCACCTCCCTGTAAGCAGACCACCTGCTGTACATACCATGTATATCCCACCTCCCTGTCAGCACACCACCTTTTGTACATACCCTGTATATCCCATCTCCCTGTCAGCAGACCACCTGCTGTACATACCCTGTATATCCCACCTCCCTGTAAGCAGACCACCTGCTGTACATACCATGTATATCCCACCTCCCTGTCAGCACACCACCTTTTGTACATACCCTGTATATCCCATCTCCCTGTCAGCAGACCACCTGCTGTACATACCCTGTATATCCCACCTCCCTGTCAGCAGAACACCTGCTGTACATACCATGTATATCCCACCTCCCTGTCAGCACACCACCTTGTGTACATACCCTGTATATCCCACCTCCCTGTCAGCACACCACCTGGTGTATACACCCTGTATATCCCACCTCCCTGTCAGCACACCACCTGCTGTACATACCCTGTATATCCCACATTCCACCTCCCTGTCCGTAGGCAACCAGGTCCACAGCAACCATGACAGCATGTTGGAGTGGATTGTGTCCTTGTCTCAGGTCATGTGCCAAAGCAAGGACAGTGTCGGTGGATGGATCCACCACTACAGCTCCTATAGCAACCTTAGAAAAACAGAATTTATTATTTAACCCATTTTAAACAATGAAAATCATAACATGTAAAAAAAATATACCTGGAGCAAGTAACCGCACCGCCCCATCCCCTTACCTGTAGGTCTAACTGGCCCTTCTCCCTGTCCCCTAGATACAGGCCTAGGGGTGAAACGGTATACCGCGGTATATGCAATCCAATAAAGATGATTTTTCCTTATCCTGACTCATGATCTTTTGCTTATCTCCCTTTCCTCTTCAAATGGTAGTGGAACACTTGAATACCTTGTAGTTCCCGAAGCGGACGTATAAACACACTCACCCACGAGTTACCTCCCTTTGCCCTTTCCCGCGCAAACCAGTCAGGTGACCTTCCTTACTTCTCACTCTCTCCCTTTTCGCCCAAGCTTGGGCGAGCACTGGAGTCCCGTATACGGCATTATATCCTTTTATATTAGGTCCTATTCTTCAAAATTACGATGTATATGGATTTGACTATAACTACTATGTAGTATTTGTAAAATGGTTGTAGAAATTAATTACATTTGAGTTGTGTTTTCATGGTCATGTAACTTTGTTTACATTTCATGAAATCTTGCAGTTTTTGCAGGCACAGGTTATCCGTGGCTGATCCTCACCCCCAGTGTCCTTCATGCATAAATCAATGTTCCTCCAACTTGCGCTGTACTTATTGTATTGATTTATCAAATCTTCAATTTAATCGATATTTGTCTGATATTTATAGACGTGCCATGGATCGTGTGAGGAAGTCATCTCAAGTCACGATTGATAAAACTGCAGATCAGCCTTCAAACCGTATGTTTTTTTTTTTGTTTTTTTTTTTGAGTTTTTTTAATTTTTTATTCCACTTTTTTTGTTGTACAGCAAATCATACATGTCATACATAATATGTCATTTAACACATACTTCATTGAAAACAAACTGTTTATGGCAGCACGAGCATTTTCATCTATCGAGAAGCCGTTTCATCAAAGGACTAATTGGATAAAATGGTTCAAACAACCTGCTTATGGTAACTGGACCAATGCTATACATCGAGAAACAAAGTTTCAGCAAAAAGAGTAATTAAATAAAGTGGTTCAAACATACCACTTATGGCGGCTGAACCAATGTCATACATCGATAACAAAGTTTCGTTGAAAAGGGTAATTGAATAAAATTGGTATAACCAATGTCATACATCGATACACAAAGATTCATTGAAAAGGGTAATTAAATGGAGTAGTTAAGGAACATACTACGTATGGCAACTAGACCATACATCGAGAAACCAGGTTTCATCGAAAAGGGTAATTGAATAGAGTGGTTAAGAAACAAACTGCTTTATGGCAACTGGACCGTACATCAATAAACAAGTTTCATTGATAGTAGTAATTGAATAAAGTTGTTCAAAACATACCACTTATAGCAGATGGACTAATGTCATACAACCATAAACAAAGTTTCATCGAAAAAGGTAATTGAATAAAGTGGTTCAAACAACCAAGTTATGGCAACTGGATCAATATTGTGCATCGATAGAACGAAGTTTCATCGAAAAGAGTAGTTGAATATATTGGTCAAACAAACAACTTATGGCAACTGGACCAAAATTTAACAAATTTGTTGTAATCACAGTTAGAGTAAGCTATGGCTTTTGTTATGTTATAGTAACTTGTCAACTCCCTCTGGATCGAAGCAAAGGAAAGTGTTCCTCGCTTAACATAAACTTTGAAAATTGTGTTTTTATTACGAGACAGATTACGCTTAAAGGGTCATTTCTTTTAGAAGGAAAGCCCAACAAAATTGTTTCTTTAGTAAACTGTACATTAATTTCCGCCTTTACTGTTTACCCAGTTTTGGACTTCAATCCAGATTGAGTTGACAATTTCACAATTCCATAAAACATGACAGATATCTGCTATGAACTTGTGACAAGTTGTACAGATAGGAGAGTTTTGGTATCCAATCTTAAACAAATATTTTCCAACTGGAAGAATTCGGGTTAATAATTTTATATTGAAACCACCGTAATTGAACACTATCAGTTGATCGAAAATGGAATTTCATTAATATTCTTCCATTCCCTATCTGTATATTGTTTTACTAATTCTTTCTCCCATTGTTGATTGGCTGAAGTTTTCTGGAACTTGGATCCTAATAACACATTATAGTAATATTTTGAGCCCTTTTGGTATTCAGGAGCAAACGAATGTTAAATGGTAGTAATGGTGCTGTTAATGGTGTATTATCGTCATAATCAAGCTCGCTCAAATATTTATTCAAAGACTTTTTACCCCCGTGAAATGTTAAATAATTGGAGGAAATATTGTACTTATTTTTGAAATCTAGGTATGAAAGAGTTTGACCATCCTGATCTATCAAATCATTGATATATTTTACTCCGCTTCCTCCCATTGTTTAATAAATATGCATTTTTATCAATCTTAACATTATCATTATACCATATATACTGTGAGTACGCATCCTTTCGTGTTTTCTTATGCTTATTCAGGAATAGAGCCCAGGATGATAAAACATCTCGCCAGAAGGGGTTTCTTATGTTGTTAATGATATTATCTCTTATATAGATTGCATCCATTTCTAGAATATTACTTGGAATAGTATTTGATTCAGAAAAGAAATAATTGATGTATTGTGTTCGAGAAGGTAAATCGCCTAAGACATGAAATCTTTTGAGAAGCAATTACATCCCTTACAAATGGAGTATTGAACCCCCGTCCGAATATTGCATATTACCCTGTTCCTTTTAATCTTATCTGGTTTTTCGCTCCAAATAAATCGAAAGCATTTTGCTTGGAAATTTTGTATTACAGTTTCTGATGGTGTAGGAACGGTAGAAAATAAGAGATTAAGTTTTGGTAACAATAAGGATTTTAGCACTGTGTTACGTCCAAACGGCGCTAACGCTTCTACATTTCCACATTTTCATTAAATTTTCAATTTCTTTAAATTTTTCGTTGTAATTAGCATCTACCATATTCTCAAGATCAATATCAAATTTGATACCCAGTAACTTAAATGTTTCAGTCCAGTCCATTTTACAGTTCTTCAATAGTTTCATTCGGCTACGCTTTTTGGAACCGATCCAAATCAACTTTGTTTTATCAATGTTAATTTTAAACCAGAAAACGTGCAAAAAGGTTAATGTATTCACGACTGCTTGCAAGCACCTTTCAGTACCATCTAACATTAAGGAAGTATCATCTGCGAACTGCGCTAATAATTGTTCAATAGATCCAATCTTTAATCCTCTGATAGATTTATTTCTTTTAAGTAATCTGGTTAATATTTCAGTGCATACTATGAAAATATATGGAGAGATTGGGTCTCCTTGGCTTAACAACCTCGACTTAGTTTGAAGAAGGGACTAGCAAAACCATTTACTAATACACAAGATTCAGAATTTTTATAGAGCAGTTTTATCCATTTTCGAATGGAAGGGCCGAAATTAAAAAGCGAAAACGCTTTTGAATAAATCGCCAGTCTAAAGAATCGAAAGCCTTTTCGAAATCAATAAGCATTAACAAGCCTGGAATCTGATAGGTATCTACATATTCCATAACGTCATACACTTGTCTTGTAACCTCTCCCATATATCTACCCTTTTATGAAGCCTTTTTGTTCCTCACTGATAAATGTGGTTAAAGTTGGTTTTATTCTCTCTGCTATAGCTGCCGAGGCAAGTTTGTACACAATATTGAGTAATGAAATGGGTCTCCAGTTCTTTAGAAACTTTTTAGGTTTGCCTTCTTCGAATACAAGTGATGATACCCTGAACTTGTGTATCTGATAGAGCTCCGCTTCTGTAAGCATAATTTAGCGATTTTATAAGATACACATTTAAATCCCGCCAAAAGAATTTGAAGAATTCTGCAGTGAAACCATCAGGGCCCGGGCTTTTTTCATTTTTCATACGCTTCAAAGCACTAAGAACTTCACCGTATGTTAATTCGCCTTCTAATGTTTCTGCCACTTCATCACTAACCTTGTGGCTATTCGAAATAAATCTTCGAGATCTATTTGAGAAGTTTCCTTTTCACAGTAGAGATTTTGATCAAACGTTTTAGTCTCATTTAAAATGTCTGAAATATTAGAGATTATTTCTCCGGATTTTGTTTCAAGTTCAGCAATAGATTTATTTAAAAAATTCCTCGATTCCAACTTTAAGAAAAATTTTGTTGGCTTTTCACCTTTTTCTATCCATTTAGACTTTGCCCTTATAAAACTACCTTTTGCTTTTATTTCGCTAATTTCTTCTAATTCGGAGTTTATTTCATTTATATAATGCAGTAATTCTTCTTTTTCTTCAGTATTTGTCAATTCATCTAACTCTATTGTCATAATTGCGAGTTTTTCAGATAATTTCTTTTCATTTTTTTCTCTGTCCTTTTTTTTACTACACGAATATAGTATGGTTTTACCCCTGACCATACATAATATCATTTCCCATAAAAGTTGATCTGAAATTCCAAACCTTCGGGTTTTCGTATTCCTCACAAGTTTCTGTGTATTGTATTTTTACTAGTTTTACATATTCAGGATCATTTAATAAAGAGTTATTAAACTTCCAATAACTCTTACCTCGTTTGACCTCATTTGAGTGCAAACTTATCTCTACGAGAGAATGATCAGTTTTAAAACCTGGATCTATGCTGGTATATTCTACTGAAGAGAGGAGATTGTGAGAAACAAGGAAATAATCAAGACGTGATTGTTTTAAAGGGGTAGGCTGACGCCAGGTATACCTCCTTTCAGTTGAGTTATGTAGTCTCCAAGGGTCTTTCAAATCATATAACTCTATAATATCCTTTATTTTGGCTCTATTTTTAGGGTTATTTACATTTTTATAATTAAATTGATCAAGTATAGGATTTAAAGCACAGTTCCAATCTCCACAAAGAATAAAGAATTCCGAGAGTCAGATTCATTTAGAATGTTGATTATTTGTTCATAAAATTCAGGCGTATCTTCGTTTGGGCCGTATACAT